TTGTCTGTTTGTCACTGAAGTAACCTGCTTGTCACCATACTATAGCAAGTATGTAGGGAAGTAACTTTAATTTTGATAGTGCATTTGTTCATACTTTCAGCTATTATCTAAAGGTTCATTTTGAACTAAACACTAAAGAAAATATTTATGTCCCCTGTGTACACAAAAGCATTTCAAATAAACTCTAGTTAAGACAACTTTATACAGCAAGTGTTTGATAGATTATGCAAACTTGTTTATGGTAGCACTTAAGTTTATTTTCCTAGAACACAGCTTTAAATTTTGTAGGCCAAAATCCTCAATTTTAAACACAACTGCTACAGGAGAGTAGTGGAATGTTGTGTATTTGTTATTGGGAATGACCAATAACTAGAATGTAATGCCCCTCAACCTTTATTAGCCGTGGGAGAAAAGCAAAGTCACACTTAAAAATGAGTTTAAAAACAAGTAAAAGGCGCATACCTTTCCATCTTATCTTTTAAACATCTTTAACCTGGATTGTTTTTCCTGATACTGTTTGTATTGTCAGATGCAGCTTTCTCTTCCAGCTGATTTTATTCAGACGCTGCCAAAAATGTGTTGCTGGATATTCGATTCCTTAACTCCCCTTGCTTCCATAAAATGAGTAATTTTTTTTAATTAATGTAGTTTTTATTCATAATAGTGCAGTTAACAGAGCACAGAAAAATCAACAAACTTAGCTAAGAAAGCCTGGTTTATTACTATAGATGTATATGAACCTGAAAAAGCTTGTTTGTTGGGAACTGTAAACATTACAATTTCAGTGTTCCTATAAATAGCTGGAATATATTACCTAGAAATTGTATTGTTTAACCTAGTATTTTAACTATAGGTAAATGTAGGTATATTTTCATCAGCTCTTTAAATGATGAATTAATTGATGATACAAGTCTGTTTCCATAGAGTAACAACATTAGGATACTAGAAAAGTTTCACTGGGCATTTTAGTATTTCTGGATTCAAACATACTTTATTTGAGAGTGTCTTCAGCCCCAAAAATGTCTTCAGAAAGATAATTTCAGGATTTTACTGTCCTAAATACATATCTTTATAGCCAATGGCTGTTAGGAGGTGAACATCCAAACACTTTCATGGGTCTGGCTCCTAGCACACGTAGTATTCCAGGCCATTAGCTTGGGGAATAAAGTATCTTAACAGTGATTTTTTTCCCCCAGTGTCCTAGAAGTATGCATTGCCTTTTCTCAATGCCCTTTTATTGTTCTTTGTACAATTTCTGCCCAAATTGCTTTTGTGCAAAAGCTGGCCTTCATTATATTTATTATATAATTTATTATTGCATTATATAGTTCTGAAGTAATATCAAATACTTTGAAGTCATTACTATTCTTTCATCTAACAATTTGGTTATGGATAGTACAAATAGGTTTATTTGATGGTTTTATTCATTCAGATAGCAGCTGTTTTCTGTGTTCTATCTTAATAGCATTCCAGTTTACATTTTCCTTACACATATCACGGAATCCTAACCTTTACTTCTGTGATCTTATAAAGCTTGCAGTATTTTATTTATAAGGCTTAATTTGGCCAATATAAGTACAAGTTGTAAAGTATTATTTCTTATCTAACATCTTTTGTTTGTAAACAAATTCTGATTTTAAAGCAACTTATGCATTATTCATAACTTCTGAAGTACTAATGAATTTTAAGTAGTTTTGCTGAACTTGTATGCAGTTGATTGGGTTTTTTTTTTCCGAACACTAAGACAGAAATTACTGTCTTATGTCAGGAGCTCTTGGAGCATTGCTTTAAACCTTTTGGTTTAGCAAAGAACCTTTTTCTCCTTTAGAAATACCCAACCTTGTATTTGGCCAGAGCAAGGGTATTTCGTAAAATGCTTTGTTTTCTTGCCACAAAAACTCTAGGAAGCCCTGTTACGAAAGAAATGCTGTCAAGTGGCTTTCCTCCTGCCTTTATCACTGATGTTCAATAACCATTCAAAACTTACAGGGTCAGGTAAGAGCTTTCTTCATAGAGCAGTGACATTATTTCTGGTTAGCCTCAGAAATGTTGTATTTGCTGAGAGCTCCAATGCATTTTTCATATGATTTTTTTTTGTTTGTATTTTTTTTTTTTGTTTTGTGGTTCTATCATCTTTTACAGAAGAGATTTTTTTTTTAAGTTTAGTTTAGCCAACTAAGTCTGCTAATAGATCCACTGAGCAGTTATTCAGAAATGTTTGCTAATGTGTTTTGCTTTAGGAAACTATCCAAAATAATTGGATTGAGAATGCAGCATGCAGATTATTTTTCCAAGAGCAATATTTGGAAAATTGTATATGTGAATGGTGCTGTATGCTCATCGTTGCATATATGTGTGTGTGTTGTAAGCTACAACAGCTTAAGTGAATATTTCAACACAGCAAAATAAGTATTTGAAGACAGAAGAAGAATGAGCAACTCTTGAATACTTTGGCATAGTATCTTGAAGCTTTAAAATTACACCTTGACTTGCTTGATAATTAAGTTTATTTCTTTTTTATATTTTAACTGTTTATTGATACTGCAAAGACTTGTGCATGTTATTAAGTGGAAGTGCTCAGGCTGCTAAAACTAGATAGGTTCTTCACTCCTTGTAAGATTCAGATCTCTGGTTCCTTAGTGTTTATATTCTAGAGACATATTTAATTTTTTTCGGTAATGCAAAACATGTTTCTTAACATCCTTGAAGGGTTTCTGTTAGCTTTTCTTAATGGGATATTTTAAGTGGGAAATCTTCAACCTTTACTGTGGAGTCAGAGCAAAGGAAAAATGTTGTAGTGAATGAGGGGAAATGAATAGCAAGCTATAATAAAAGATTGCATAAATACTGCACCATATTCACTAATTTTACTGCTATGTCACTCTTCAGTAAAAAATAAAAAATACCTTCTTTACTGTGAGTGTTCCAAAGGGAATATATGAAAGTGTCTTGATTGCTCTAGTTCTCAGTGCTGCAGCTGGTGAAATGGTTTGAACCCTGTTGCAACACCCTGAATGCTGTCAGTGGTCGGGTGTTAAGAACGTAAAATTATTTTTCATTAGGTCTTACGTAGACACATTCATTTGCTCACATGAACTACTGCATTGGTAAGGACTGTAAGCTGCCTTTTTAGAAATAATACTATCAAGAAGGAGCTTTTTTATCATCTCTTCTTGAAAAGTTACCAATAGTGAGGAGCTGACCTAAAACCTGAGGCTTGTCTTCATACTTATGTGTCTTCATTGCTTGTTTATAATTATTTACATTTCTCTGTCTTTGTTTGTTTATATCATTCACTGTGTACATTCATACTTGTTTCTGCAGTAACTTGTGACTACCTAGGAATTAAAATTCTCAATTGGGTTTTTGCTTCTCTGAGTCAAAAATATACCTGCCTGGTTGATGTTTTAATTGTCTTTTTAATATGCCTTACAGTTGCCTGTAGAGAATGAAAATGCAAAGAAGCTAGAAATGTGACAAAAATTAAAATAGTGACATCTGTGTTACATAAGTTACAATGTCAAATATGTTTGTGAAGTCAGAAATAGTCTCTAGGAAGTTCATGTTTATGATTACTACTGTGAATCATCTGTTATACTGCAAATATCTCGTGTAAATGTTTTGCTTTGAATCACTTCTGCTACCTGAACAGAATTTGATCTCACTTGTTAAACCTTGTAAGATATTAAAATACCTAATTTGCTTTGGTTTTTTTCATTTGTATTGTAGGTTTTGACTTTTGCCTATAAGCATGCGTTGGTAAATAAAATGTATGGAAGAGGACTCAAGTTTGCCACAAAACTGGCAGAAGAAAAACCAACAAAGGACAACTTAAAAAACTGCATTCAGGTAGGGAGTGTTTGGCTGCGTTCATGCTGTGTAAGCTTTCAGAAGTAAGATACAAGTCTTCTGGAATTTTTTGTACTCTTCTCATTTTAGAAAGCACTAAATGTAATATCTTAACTTTATCCAGGTTTTGTAACTCAGCTTTCATATGAAACAGTGATTTTTTTTTTTCTTCCTTCCTTGTTCTAGAATGGTTTGTTTGTGAGTAACTGTTGTTTTTAACAGATTTACTTTTTGGAACTTACTTTGGGGCATAAAAGAAGTAGAGACAACTTAGTCCAAGATATCTGCATAAAAATCCCCTTATGTTGTTGTTTTACCACTGGGTGTTTTTTTACTATTATTAATCTTAATTACTGCTTGTAGAACTTAGTGGAGAATTAAAGGGATTTTCTAAGATTAAATTCTTGTGCATTATATTGAAAGAATGTGGATCATATAGAAGGGGGGAGGAGGGGTCCCCCTTTCAGGACTCAGGAAATCAAAACTCCAATCTGTTGTCTTTCTGATGATAGACATTTTTAGTAGTGTTGATATCAGTGCAGTGTTTGTTTAGATTTAGATGTTAAAAAGAGTAAGACTAATTTTTTTTAATGTGTGCTTTTTTTCTTCAGCTAATGAAGTTGCTTGGATGGACTCATTGTGCAACTTTCACTGCAAATTGGCTTCCTGTCATGTATCCACCTGATTATTGTGTATTCTAGAGAATCAACAATTGTAAAATTAAATTGATTTTATATGGGACAGGATAGGAAAAGAGAAGTTTGACTTTTTATTCGAACGCATGTTTTCATTACTGAATGCTGATTATTAAATTGTGTGTATTTATCAGTAAGGGCACCTGGGTATGGCTTAATACCTGTTAACCTAACTCCTGTCATCAGGGAGTTTCCTTATTGTGCATCCCATTGCTGGCAATGGATGTGCCAGAACTGCCAACATCAAGGATTTGGAATTAGTTTGGAAGGAATTATTGCATGCATGTTACGTTCTGAATTGTTACTTTGAACTGCAAACCTGTAAAAGTTCTGTATTTTTTATGGTACACTGAATTTTAACATGTTTGATCTTAATTTCAATTGTATGAAGGCCTTAAAGCTACTTCAAGAGTAGCTAAAATCTTACTTATTAGATGAAAATAATGGACACCTGTATTGTTTGCAAGAGTTTACATTTAATGTTTTTGAGAAAAATTCAACCTCTCAAATGGTTACAATGTTTCTCAGAATTGCAGATGCATAGGTACTCTTGTAAATTTTCAAAACTCTTCATTTTGGAGTGATTTCAGGCAAACTCAGAAATCCTGGTGAAGCTGAATATCAGGACAGGCTGATACATGTATAAAAGTGCCAGACAGTTACATGTTGATCAGATATTGTAAAGCTATACATAGATGTTTATTAATGTTAAAAATACAAAACACAGCAGAATAAATGTGCAAAGTTGAAGATCAAAATACCACCATGTTCACTCTGATACTTTAAAAGATTTTTATAATGAATAAAAATACTGAAGCTAAAATTTGTATTGGTTTCTGGATGAGTACCTAAATAAAACTTGCTGAAAGAAAGCAGCTTACAAACAGCAGAGGTTCAGTGCAGCCCAGAAGATCAATGCTTTTTGTTAAAACCTTCTTACTAATACTGTTCCTTCAGTGGAGGGGAATTGGTCAGTTTGAACAGGTCATATTTATCAACCAGAGACAAACTGCTATATCTTTTGCCTTGCTGGGTTTTTTTCTACTTGCAATGCAAAACGTAGATGGAACTGCAACTTTACAACCATAAATGCACAGATGGTGCAACATAATCTTGGAAAGCATTCCAATTTTTGAGGTGCTGCCACTAAATCAAGATCAGTAGTAGTTTTCTCTTTAATTCTTTCTTACTGTGGCTTTAAGTAGCTTGACATTTGATTCTGGAAATTCTGCTAGAATGGTTGTGTTAAATATATTGCAAACTTTTTCCAAAAATTCGTAGTCTGTACTGAATCTGAATTTATTTGCCCATAGTAATACTGTTCCTGGCTTACAAAAGTACACCATTGTTGCTAGCAGGGGGTCCAGAGCTCCATGATGGTACACAACATCAGTTGCCAGTATGAAATCATAATGGTAAGTTGATACAGGAAAGTCTTCATTGAGGCCTTCTCCCCATACCAGTTTTCTCACTTCAGGTTTGTGCATATTCAAGTTCTGTGTATTTCTTGAAATATTATATGAGAGATTTTCAAGAACTTCTGGCAAATCAGTAGCTGTAACATGAGCCCCTAAAGAAAACATGAGTTTGTTAATTCACAGAATCACTAAGGTTGGAAGAGACCTTCAAGATCATCTGTCCAACCATGAACCCAGCACTACCATAATCACCCCTAAACCATATCCCCAAGTCCCACATCCAGATGCCTCTTGGATACTTCCAGAGACAGGGGCTCCACCACCTCCCTGGCCAACTTATTCTAAGGGTATCTAACCACCCTTTCTGTAAAATAAAAAAAAAGCTTCTAATATAAAATTTGAACTCCCTGGCACAACTTAGGGCTGTTACCTCTCACCCTTTCACTTGAGACAGGGCAAAATTCATAGGTATGTAGTTGAACATACATGAAGCTTTATCTACATAACTGGTCCAGCCCCCCCCCCCAATAACTAAATTAACATTTTGTTAATTTAGTTAACAAAACAGTATTTTACAATGATTTTCATTTAAAAAAGCAACAACAACAAAAAAAAAACAGTGACAAAGTTTCCTTCAACTGTTGTTTCATTGCCTTAAAGTGACAATGACAGAACTAGATCATCGTTCACTAGCAATTGAAAAGGAAATACAAATTTACCAACCTAAGATACAGGCCACAATGGAAAGCAAGCCTGTTCCAGCACCAATTTCCAAAACTTTTTTGTCTTTGAGGTTGAATTGTTCTTGATTTGCTTCCAGATACTGAGATAAAGCCAGTGCCTAAAATGGTTAACACATATCCATAAAAGGGTAAGAGCTAAGTTGCACAAAAATTCATTAGATGTTTTTATACAAGGGTGTTGTGTTTTTTTAGTGTAATGAGAAACACTGAAGTGTGTAACAAAAATGTAAGATGGGAAGAATTGTGATGTATCCATTTTTTTATTATTAAAAAAAACTAAAGCAGTTTATTTTTAGTTTTAAGTTTATGTGATACTGATTTACTACACACTTCTACACGAGTCCTCTGACAGCTCGAGACAGAATCATAGAATAAGCTGAGTTGGAAGGGACCCACAAGGATAGGCAGTGTTAAGATGTGAACCATACAGTCAGAGCAGCAGAGTTTAACAATATGTAAGTAATGTTCTGGTTTATTATAAATGTTATGCTATACTATCACTATCACTACAGTAACTTTAGGCTTCAGCAGAGATTTTTGAAAAACTTTTTGTTTCAATTTTTTTAGCAAAGAAAATATTGAAAATTGGTTATTTTACAAACTTGATGCTTGTTTATTCATAACAGTGTAACCTTTGAAAAAAACAAAAACAGCACTGTATTAAAATATTAGGCCTTTGTAAAGATTTTGTCAGCAGAATATAAGTAGGCTGTTTATTAACAACATAAACTGATGCCAAAGAAACTGTCTTCCCCCTTTTGCTTCTCTTCTTTAGAATTGTGTTACTGTTTTAACTCTTGTGCTTTTCATAATGCAACACTGTCTACCTGCTCTGGGAAAGCTGACAGCTAATGAATCACCAGTCCAATTTGTGCAAGCTCTCAATTTTCTTGGAGAGTTTTACCATCTGCATTCTGACACTTGATTAATGTGCAAATTGATGATCTGACATTTCAGAATAAGATCCTGTTTCACCCACCCATATACTCTCTATTGTTTTGAAATTGTCTGCCATTTTCTTGTGAGCTTTTTAAATAAATGTGGATCTGAACAATTTTGAAATCCTGATTTTCTTGTCTTTATCAGTTGACTCTCTCTTCCCTCAAAGGCCGTTTTCTTAGTCTGTGTAAAATTCTGTTTCTAAGAATAGGACAGGCAGAGACTGAAGAACTGCTTACAAGTATGATTTTCCATACTGTAATGAAACTGTTCTAGCCTTTTCTTTAAAAGAAGCATATTTAGTAATGTTAACGTCCTTTATTTATTCAATCTCTCACAGTTTTCATTTCCAGCCTCCTTTTAATACTGCTGATTACTTACTTACCAGCAGTGACTGGTTGGAAGCATGGAGGAAGCTGAATGTTTCTTCCTAAGTTCCCTTACTAAATTCTTTTTTCAATCCCTACATTTGATGTACAAATGCTTTGGTGCCATAGTCCTTTAGGCATGAATGGCAAATTACCCTAAGGCAGAGCTTTCTGCTGAAGGACTTCATTCTGCATAGGGAAACTTTCATTGTCAGAAGTGTAATCTAAGAAAGCTTCCTTAATATTTGTGTGCTGCTGTCCTGGATTGCTCTTGTGTCCCGTGAGCTTTCTGTATGTGGTCTTGTGTACTTACCCCTGGCCATACCACAGCTCCAAAGTGTTCTATGGACTCCTGAATGACAATCTGGTGGCCAACGTATGTATAGTGCTCCTTATCAAAGTAGTGTGAAACTCTAGGAACCCAGTTCTGCAGTATTTTAAGAGTTACTGGTGACCCTGTGAGAGAAAAGTTGAGATTTCATGGGTGTATGTGCAACTTGTTAAAAGGTAAAAAGTATTTTACAAAAACAGTGTGTGAGCACATGGACTAGAAGAGCTCTCAGGAAATTGGTCTTGAATCATAGAATCATTAAGGTTGGGGAAGATCTGGAAGATCACTAAATCCAGGCATTAACCAAACCAGCACTATGTTCATTGCTGAAACCTCCCCAAATGCCACATCTACAGATCTTTTGAGCACTTCTGTGGGTGGGGATCCCTGAGCAGCCTGTTCCAATGCCTGACCACCAGTGAACACTAGTTGCTGTCCAAAACCAGACAGCCTGGGTGGCCAGGGGGTGAAAGGAGCAATGGCCATTTCCTGCCACTCTAGGTATTCACATGAGCAATTTAGAGATAGAAATGAGCCTTTCAGGAAAACCTACCAATTTAAATACAAAACTCTACTAATGATAGCTAAAAGACTTTCAGGACCAAGGTAACTTGTATTTTGGTGTTTGTGCTGAAGGTTTCTTTTGTGAGGCCAGCAGCTCTAGAACAGCAAGCTGCTTTTTACATTAGGATCTACATCCTACATTGAAGAAAACCTGAAGAAAACCTCTTTCTTAGTGGTTGTTTTTTAAGCATCCTCCCACAGAAGGAGGGTTGCAGGATGCTTTTTATGTTGGCATACACAATGTAGTTCAGCAAGTCAGTGCTACAGTTGTCCTCAAGTGTCTCATCATGGCAAGGAGGCTCGTGGCTGAGGTTTTTCAGATCTGTGCTGAGGCTGTTCCATCTGATCTCACTGAAAACAAGGACACTGTTCTGAATGGCTGGAACTTTTGTTGCAAGGATATGCATAGAATTAACTGCAAGGGGAAAATATGCTCTGGATTGCAGGGATTTTAACTGATACCTGACTGGAATCCGCTGTTGGAGCAGTTTAGCCTGTTAAAATCTGTAATAACATGGCTTCAACAGTGCCAGCCCAATTAATGTATACTATAACCATATCTATTTTGTAAGAGATTTTAACTGAGAAATAATTCTTAGATGTCTAAATAAAATCAAGAGACCTTTTAAAATATATTTCTTAATTATGGAGATAGAGGGGTATGTCTTGTAGATTTGATCTGATAGTATATGCAAGCATAAGGGGACATAATGGGGGAAATTGGATATCAAAGGAAAAGTTGCATGATAATATCTGCTATTTGAAGAGTGACAAAAATCAAAGTATGATATGCTAGCATGCCATAGCAATTGAAGTATTTAAATTGGACTAAACCTCTTTCAGATTCTGCATCCTCAGAGCTGCAAGTACAGTTTTCAGAGTCATACTGCTCTTCACATGTTTCTTCTTCCTCAGATTGGCAGTCCATTGTTCTTTGAATTTTGCTGGGAAATGGTGGCTGCTGTGCAGAGATCATGGCAAGAGAGCTGAAACAAGGGAAAAAATAATGTTATAAAATCTTGCAGGCACTCTCTTATGAAATATATCTGGAAAAAGACAGTGAGTAGTTGAGGTGGCCTTTAGTGGCCTTTTGGAGGTTTTTTCAGTGATGGATTGAAGAAATGGGATGAGATGGGACATCTACACTCCACTGGGTGGTATGAGCTGTTTCTGGGAATGTAGTAATGCTGTCAGAATTTTTCTTCTCTCTCATTTATCATTTTTATCATTGTGTTTATTTTATCATTTATGCAGAAGCTTAGAATTATGTCACTGAATTGATACCTCTAGTCAGCCTGAAAATTGAGCTACTCTTATAAGTTGAAGCAATAGCTGAGGAAGATAACTGTCTTTTAACGTCTGTGACTTCATCTGTGTAATTTACTATTTTCAAAAAATTTGGGACTTATGATTCCAGAGGTAAAACTGTTTCATTTGCTGCAGTCAGTGCTCTCGATTTTGTCTCCTTGCATAGAGTTGCCTTCTTTTCCCTGTCGTTTCCTGCAGAACAGCTAACCCAATTACACTGAAATGCAATGAACTGCAGAATACCCAGATGGCAGTCAGGAAATCATTGCCATGAGAAGATTGAATCCTTAAGGGTTTTGGATAAATCTCTCTGTGCATCCCCAGGGTACAGGGCAGTGCATAATCTAAGATGGAATTGATTGATACCAGCCAGCATCAATAAAAGCAAGAACAGAACCTAATATAGATTTGCTTGGAGAGACATAGGTCAGTGAAATTCTTTGCTTGACTAGAGTGTTCTTCAATAAAAAAATGCATATATCTGTGAGTGTTTGAAAATTAGATATAGAGGTATAGGTTAGATCTAGATTAGATACAGAAATAGATATATACACAAACTTATCTATATGTAAAGAGCAAACAGTTCATAACTTCTGGCTTTGACCAGAGGCTGTACATGTTCACCTTTCCCACATAACATGGTGGCTGGAGTGAGCTGTGTTTTTATCCATGATAAAAATGTTTGTTCACTCTGCTCATTTTTGAGACTGCATATTTGCTCTCTCCAGCCACAGGCACTGCCAAGTGTTGTATCATTTGATTGCATCATACTGCAGGAGGCTGTTTGACATATCCTCACTGGAAGGGGTAAATCTCTAGCAGTGGCCAAGATGTTTAGCAATGCCTGCAGGTATTTTTTAAGGAGCAGTGTGACTGCTGACTTATGTGAGTGATTTAATTTGCACATGATATTGACACCATTGCAATCTACTGATACCTGATATATTCCTTATTCCTGCTCTGTTTATTCCCAAGGACAGGATTTCTGTTCTAATTCCTCTGACACTGCATTTGTTCCATCTTGGCAGTGATTTTGTACTGCAAGAGAAAAGAGTGTTTTAAAGAGCTTTAAATCGATTTCTGCACTTTTTTTTTCTTCAGAGGGCCTCCATCTGGCTAGTAACAAGATCTGGCTTTCCCCTGTGGTGTGTGATTCGAGGTAAGATAAAGGTAGGTTAGAGACTGAAGTTAATGGTGCAGTCACTGTATTCCCTGACATGAGGGAGTGCATCCATGTTCACTTTCCACATGTCACAGTGTGCCTCCTTCCAACAGCAATGTTTTTTTTTTCATTTAATCAAAAGTAGGCTTCTGGATTTGAGCAATGTCTCCTTTTCATGCCTTAAGCTAGAATATAATCTGCTCATGTTCTAATGCTTTAGGAAATCTCTGTGAAAAATATTTTCAGACTTCTGCAATTGGGAGGGTACATAATGAAAAGCGAAGAATCTGTCAGAACTGGTGATGGCTACAGCCAGAAGACATTTGGTTGAAGACAGTTTTCTGAACATTATATGTTGAAACCTGCAGAGCAATACATTCTCATGTTTGGGAGTTTTGGGCTAAGCGTTTCTTTTGGTGGGGTTTTTTGTAAGGCTCTTGTAGCCTTACAAAAATGATTTGTGCTATTTAAGTGAAAAAAACAATCCTGAAATTAAAAAGCAGGAGAAAACTTTACCTTGTTCAGTACTCTACTATGTATAAAACCAGAAGGCTTGTTTAATAATAAACTGTTAATTTGTCAGTGTGGGTAGAAAGTGATCCTCCTGTATTTTTTTTCCTTGCTTAAGCAAGTTCTTACTACAACAGGCCAAAATTTCTGTTGGCTGTGGGTGGCAGTGAATTCCAGAAAATAGCTTGGAAGCATGCTTGATAAATACAAATTTGTTGATCAGCTATTAAGGACCTGCAGCAAATAAAATGCTGTCTCTGATCCTGATATATATGTATACCTTATTTATCACTTATTCAGACTGAGCTCTAACTTGATTAGACATGTTACATTTTCAAAATAAAAATTATTATGCTTTCCTTCACTTTGTTCTTTGAGTTCCCCTAAAATGTGAGTCTGCTTAAATATTTATAAAGAAACCTTGCTGGTTTTACTAAATTCATTAAAATGACCAGGAGGCCTAAAATCCACACCAGTGGTTACCCTGCCACTGGTGGTGGTCATTAAGTCCTTAAGTTGCCTGAGCTCCTAGGTGGTGATTTGGGGGATAAACACTATGCACTCTATGTTTGTATGTCACCTGACACACTGGGCTCTGGTTTTTGGCTGGAGCTTCTGGATGCTATACTAATATCTTGTAGAGGTGTAGCTTTTGCTAAACAGAAAGGGGTTTATAACTGTGTATATATGTACATATATATGCATGTTCATTCTACTGCCATAATTATTCAATTACGTATTTCATAGGAGTTAAAAGTAAATCTTTTTTTAGCTGCAAACTACAGGACAGTTTTAGTCTTATAAATTCAAGAATTCAAGTATATTAGTGTCGAGGCCTTAATAATGCACAGTTTTATTTGCCATTTTAAATGACAAACTGCTCCTGAAGGCTACAGGCACAAGTGACTACTGAGAGGCTGTTTGCAAATAAGCAGTGTTTGCATTATTGCATTCTCTATGCAATATATGTTCATGTTGAGCTGCTGTGCTCATAGAATTACAAAAAACAACATTTGTCACTATTTTGACATTTTTCTGATCCATATTTTACTAAAAAATATATCTCTCTAAAATAATTTTAGTTTGATAATGTTGCAAGCAAAATCTGTTCCCTTAGAAAACGTTGGCTCTTTCTAAATGTTAGCAGCCAGGTTTTTTCCAAATTATTCTTGTTGGGAAATGATTATCTAATTCTTTCAGAGTTTTTAAACCAGTATTGACTTCATTAATAGTCTTAAGCTGTTGTGAACACAACTTAGAAAATCACATTTGATTTGTTCAGAATCTAAGGAAGAAAGAAGAATTCACACAGCTATATCTATTACAATATTACATAAAATTAACAAGGTAACACTTAGAGGGAAATTGTAAGATGATGATAAACCTTAAGGTAACAGACCCCTATAAGAATAAACTTTGTGCCTCTTAAGCTGCTGAAATCAATTTCTTGGAAAGAGCTTTTAATATCCAGTTACGTGGCCAAAAAATAGTAGGTTACTGAGCAGTGCTGTGTCACTGGGTCTTCAGCTGTAAACACAACTCTGCTGAAATGTGTTTCATCTCAGCACAGAGTTGCTCAGTGTAGTCTGTGTTAGTTTAAATATTTGGGCAAAAGCCAATTTCATTTGCTCACATGTGCAGTCTGTTCTTTGCAAGTGCAGTCTGTTCTTTGCAAGATCGGGTTTAATCATACTCGTACCATACATTAACATCTGCTTTAGAGCTCATGCAATTTTCTCATGTTACCATGAACTAAATTTAAAAAAATAAACACCAACTGCACAAATGCTAGGAAACAAAGGAAATGTCAATGTTAGGAACATCACTATAGTAAATTTATGTGATATTTGAATTTAAAAGGTAAACGCACCCAAATACCGCCGTGACCGTCACTCCGCACGAAACAGAGAGCTGGAATTGTGTTGGCTCACAGAGCTGACCTGAAATACAAAATTCAGACAAAGGTATTTGTGTTGTTAGTTAGCAGGGAGCACAAAAGCACGTCAGGCGAGGTTAGCTGGGCAGCTGTGTGGGTACCTGATGTGATAGAGGGCATGGGAAGTTTCCTGTGGGTGGATGCACGCTCCAGAGGTATTTTATACAGGCGTGCACCTGAAAAGAATAACTTTCCCTTCCAGCCAGTCGGATTGCAGGTTATTTAGAGTAACGTTACCAGGCAGCGCTTGAAGAACTTACACTTACCACATTACACTTAAGACTTCCACATGTGCAGTACAAAATCAAAAACCCTCTTCGACTTGGAAGCCCCAAGCGTACAAACCTTTCTCGGCTCCTCCAGACTCTTGTTCTGTTTTTGCAGACGACGCCGTTCCCTGTGTTCGCCTTACGTCAGCGGAGCTGAGCCAAGCCAGCAACTTACTGTGGGCAAACTAGTGCATAAATAATGAGTGTGGCAACTTGGCAGCAGCCCAAGCACAGGGAAAAGTTCACGAAGCTCCCACTACCAGGAAAAGGTCAGGTCTTCCTTGCCCTGCTGAGTGTCTGGCTGGGGAAGCTCTGGGTGCCCTCCCTGCCCCGAGTCACAGACAGTGTGGGGAAGTCTCAGTCCTAAGAAAAAAACTTTCTGATCATCACTGCAGGTCATAACCACAGGAAATACTGTATGGACTGAAAGAGGATGAAAAGTTAAAATGAAAATCCCACTTTTATCAGAAGATCTTCCAGCTGATTATTTTAAAACAGATGGATGTCATAGCTGTTGAAGATGAACCAGATGTGTATTCCTTACACATATCAAAAATTGGGGAGGTTTATATACATTTATTCCTTTGCTGCCTTTCTGCCCTCCCTTCTCCTTCTTTGCAAAGACTCTGCCAAAAGATATTCAATCCCATTAGAGGACAGAAAAATTTTAAAGCTACTTTGAAAGTCATAAAGCTAGAAAATAACCCCTGGCTAATTAATGAATGGATGAAGGCTGGTGCAAGAAATGGGGGAGGCAGAGGAAATGTGGATTTTTAACTCAATTTATAGGCATTTTCATTTTGGGGTGAAAAGCTTTTGAATTTAGATAATGCTCTCCTGAAAAGTGGCAAAGTTAAAAAATGACCCTTTCGAGTCACGGCAGCTGTTCCATGTGTGTGCTGCTGCGGGTCTCTAGGAGTCACACCAAAGACAGGAAGCACTTTTCTCCACATTAAAATACTCACCAGCTTCTTTCCTCTGAAATGTGATAGTTGAAAGATACTTTTTAATTTATACTTGGAAACTAGTATTATGATATTAACTGTATTAAGCTGTTATTGTAAACTTTGTATTCCACAGACCTGCCTGACTTTACAAGCAGTGGAAATGAGAGGTCCTGAGGCAGGTGAGTAGCTGTTACTGGAAATTAAGATAGGCTGCTGTTGGAATGACTGCCATGGCTTTTTTTAAGATGGGTCCTTTTAGCAGGCATATTCCTGCTGTCATATTTATTGTATTTGTCACCAGGGTGAATGCAGCTCAGACTGGTGCTGCTGTCAGAGCTCTGTCCTAAGCTTTGGAATGGGACTGATGGTGGATATAAACAGTTTATTTGTTGAATGAAAGTAGAGAAATTGGCTTACTCTGTAATGTATCTCTTGTAGCAATGGTGGAAACTAGGGACAGTGTTACCATTTATTTATGAATCATGCAAGCATGGCTTAATTTCTTGTTTACAACTCATGGAGGAATAAAAACTGATACTCTGAAATGTAGCTTTTGTTGACATATATTTACTATATACTTTCTATAAATACTTCTTATTCCACACTCAATCTCCAAGTATTTCTTGTTTAATATTGAAAATTACTGTTGTCTGGAGGGGTAGCCCCATGGAATTAAAACTTCTCCAGACTTTTGTGATTGGGCAGGCTGAGGGCAATACAGCACCTCAGTTCTACATGTAAAAGGGCATTTTTCAGTTATCAATTCAACATCCAGTTCCACAAAGCTCTGAATTATTTGGTTGGCTTTTCTGTTTCTCTAAACACTTGTAGGAATTTTGCCATCTAGACCATTGGTGGAAGAAAAATGAGGCAGGCTGACAAAAGTGATGAGCTAAAGCAAACTTCAAATATTTTTAGAATGTATGTATTTTAATGTGAACTGTGTAGCTTGCATAGGTTTAGGGGCATGTTAGGTCTGGTAATGTGAAACCTAATTAGTAGTATGGGTCTTTTTCCCATTTAGTGCTCTTAAACTATCAGGAAAGCTGGGAGGAGTATTTTTCCTGACTGTGTCACTGAACTCAGCAGTAGCATTCTCTTCCTTGTACAGGCAGAGTAAAACTATATCCTATTACTGGATTATAGAGTACAGTGTTTCAATTTTGAAACAAATTAAAATGTTCCTCTGCCGTTAATAGTACCAATTACAGCATAAAAGTTATGTAGAACTATCCAAACTTTAAAAGTTTGTGATAAACAGGAATGAAAATGTTACAGTCATTAAACTCATCAGGAGCAAAAAGCCTGCCAGATTTGTGCCAAAGGACAGCAGAGTTAAACCAGAAAAGTTAAATTATATTCTTGACAATTAAATCAGTAACCACAGATGAACAGGACAAGATGGCAATTACTCAGAACTCCACCGTTGTATTACCAGCTCCAGACCAAAGTGTGGTGCCTGTATCTAAAAGTAGGCTTGATAGCCAAGCAGAGGAAATTGTACAAATGTGAGTTGTATTTCTAAGGGAGTCTTGGAGGCATTTAGGGAACAGTGGGGCAAGTCTGACAGTGCTGGTTAAGCTGAGAGGAACAGCAGTGCTGGTGATAAATACGAGGTGCTGTAAAGAAGGTTTTGTGTGTTCTTTGGCAGCGTCTACAAACATGTCATGAATTGTCCTCCAGTTTACAATGTATGTGGTTTTCCGCAAGCTTTTCATAGGTCACTCACTAAAGATCCCTACAGAAATTGAGTTTTGTTGGGATAAGGGGTTTTATATTTTGTTTTAATAATTTAACAGTAAGGAGACCATAAATGGTCAGGTTTTCAATGATCCAGAAGAACCAGTGCTGCTGAGTGTATTATTAAAATGTAGTGAAAATAATGTGATGACAATGCAGAATTATTCAAGACAGTGAAAAGAAAAATAAGCTGCAGAGTTCCAGAAGGATCTCTGGCATGTTATGAGAGGTGATAATGTGATAAATGAAATTCAGTGCTGACAAGTACCACCTAATACAGTCTCTAACAGGGTAGCACCTAGGAAAGAGATCTTCATGGATCCAGAGACAGCAATATACCTTAGCTATATACCTGCAAAACCACATCACTAACCAAAACCACAAAGGGATTGTTACATTTTTATAAGGAAATGGAAAAAATCCAACCAAACAAAAACTGGAAAAGGAACATTGTTTTTTTCCACTACAGGAATTCAGATATTATCTCATCTTTTCAGTGTGTGCCTCAAATCTTTGATTAAAACTTTCATGGTCTTGATTAAAACTTTCATGGCTCCTGCAGGATTTGCTGGAGGGCCTGGGTGACCTGGTGAATGACTGATGAAAAATGGCAGAGTCACACTTCTACGGCAGATTCTCCTCATTCTTATTGCTGGGGACATCTGTCAGCAGCCAGCTAAATGTCTACAGCATGGTCTTGGCATAGTCCACTGAAGTATAAACAACTGCAAGGTGAATTTGTTCTTGGCTGAGATCTCTGACAGGGAAACACCAGTGAAATATCTCTCAGGAATTAAGGAATGTTTCCTTAGGAAGATGACACTGCTAACAGTTCAGCTGAGGTGCCTTTACACAAAAGCAGACAGCATTGGAAACAGACAGGAGGAGCTGGAAGCCCCTGTGCTGCTGGAAATCTATGACCTAGCTGCCACTACTGACATGGTGAGGTGAATCCCATGACTGGAATGCGACTGTCAATGGCTGTTAAGAAGGGACAGGGGAGAAAGGAGAGGTGGTGGAGCTGCCCTCTACACCAAGAGCTGGATTGAGTGTGGAGAATTGTTTTTTAAGAACAGCCAGCACAGCTCTGCCAAGGGCAAATCCTGCCTGATCAAGCCAGTGGCCTTCTATGATGGAGTGACTACATCAATGGACAAAGGAAGGGCTACAGATGTTATTTATCTGGACTATGGTAAAGTCTCTGACAGGATCCCCAACTTTTTTGAATTGGAGAGAGATGGATTTGATGGGTGAACTGTTCTGTGGCTGAGGAATTGGTTGGATGGTCACATCCACAGGGTAATGTCAGTGGCTCGATGGACGTTGGTGACAGGTGGAATCCCTCAGAGGTCCATGTTGAGACCAGTGTTATTTAATATCTTCTTAATGACATAGACAAAGGAATTGAGTGCACCCTAGCAAATTTGCAGATGTCACCAAGCTGAGTGGTGCAGTTGACACAACTAAAGGATGCGATGCCAATCAGAGGGACATGGACAAGCTCGAGAAGTAAGCCCATGGGAATATCCTGAGATTTAACAAGACTAAGTGAAAGATGTTGCACCTGGCTTGGGGCAATCCTGGAGGCCAGCACATGCTGGGGGACAGACCAATCCCCATCCATGGAAACATTCAAGGTCAGGTTGAACCTTGAGCTCTTAGCAACGTGATCTAGTTCAAGATGTCCCTGCTCATCGCAGGAGAGATCGCACTGGATGACCTTTAAAGATCCTTTTCAACTCAAAGCATGATCTTCAGTGTTTGGCATTTTTTTTTCCAATTCATTATGGCTGTGGAATGAATTCTCAGCTTAAGGTCACTAATACTCAAAGTTAAGTCTGGTGGTATTCCTGAATAAGGGCAGTGAAAGGTGTAGGATAACACTGAATATGAACCTCTGTCATGGTTTGAGCCTGGCACAGAGCCAGTGCCCCCCATGAAAATGCCTCACCCTGGTGTCTGCTGTGAGATGTGACCAGGAATAAGCAAAACAGGCTC